CAGTGGGCTATTCCTGGTCTACTTAGATTGGGAGGTATAGCTATGGGGCTAGCTTGCTGGAAAATGTCAGTGTCAGCTGAAAAAATTAACTACATATAAAATGCAGAAAATAGCTTCTTTCATGGAAGTGATGCATGCATGTCCTTTTAGAGCTCTCATATGTTAAATCTGGACTACTCTGCATCCTAATATGGCAAAGAAGAATGGGGAGCTATCCTGATGGCTTCACACACACACAAACACACATTCACACACACATATACACACACATATACACATGTACACACATACACATACATACACATAGACGTACACACACACACAGATTTGAAAATCTGACTGTGTTGTCTTATATTCACCCACTATTTTTGTGAAAATTAAAGCACTTAGAACAGGACCTGACATTGTGTGAGGTCTCACCTGAAGGAACTGGGTGGTGACAGCTGGGAGGGCAGAGGGAAGCAGTGTCCTTCCTGACAGAACTTGCCTCCATGGATCTTCTGTGCAGGGAACTCTATCTAGAATATGGTTCTGTTCATGCTGTTTTCTGCGATGTGTCTGTTAGAATAGGCTCTCTACCCAGCTAGAACACCTTCCAAGCACTTGGAAGTATGCCTTCCACAGACTTCCCAGTTTACATTTGGTCTTAATGATCTTGAATAGACCCTCTATTCATTTTACTCAGTCAGGTTTTGTACTGATGTACAGGTGTTAAATTACTTCAAGCATTTTTGTAAGAATTGTATATGATTAAATAAAAAAAGCGATGTTTAAAAAAAGTTATTATCAGAGACTGGATTTGGGAACAGATGTGAATGTGCTATGGAGAGTCAAGGGTAATGCATAGAAGTAGATTCTTACGCTTTGTTGCAGAATGAAAAGAGCATAGATTTTTAATACTTGGGTTCAAATCCTAGTTCCAACACTCACTAGCTGTTTCTTATCACGGGAGCTCCTAGCCCCTCTGGACTTGTTTACTCATTTGTAGATGGGAGTGGTAATCCTAATTTGCAATTCCATCTTGCACGGCAGGGGTGATATATGAAAAGCAGCTGGCGCAGTGTCACATGAAAGTTGATGCTCAAGAAAGGCTGGTGCCTGAATGCCCTTAGGAGTGGAAACTAAGTGTGGCAAGGACTGGGCAAAGGACAGGACTGAGCCTGGGAAGCCCTAAGCCTCTGCTTCTGGGTTTAACCGACCACTTTAAGGGTGCCCTGAGGGTTCAGCACCTCCCAGTCCACACATTCAAGCTTAGTGCCTACCTGGCCCCTTCTATCTGAGTCATGATTAAACCCCATACGAACACATCCTGAGAACCTTCTAAATCTCAGGCCAGGACTGGGCACTTTGGGGGAAGCTGGTGTTAAAGTGCCAACTCTGCATCCAGGGCTGGCCATGGAACGGGTTCTCGCCACTGGAATACGAGTGGAGAAGAGGATGTTACCTCGGTCAGTGCTCTTAAAAAGCTTTCTGCACAGTCTCTTCTCTCCCTACTGGATGCAGTAGATCAGAGACCCTCGGGGTCGGCAGAGCCACCACCCAGAGGGAAACTGGGTGCATGTGCTCATCTCCCTGGGACACTAGCCGTGGTGGTTCTGTGAGCAAGAATGAATTTCTATTGTGTGAAGCCTCTGACACTCAGAGACATACTTGTGGGGCAGCCAGCATTACACAGACTAATACCTTCTGTCAAAGTGACTCGGAATTCAGAGTGCACATGTGAATCATTCAAGGTACCTGCTCAGCAACATGTTATTTAAACAAAAATTTTTTAAAACTTTTTTTTTAAAGAGATGGGCTTTTTCTCTGGTACCCTGGCTGGAGTGCAGTGGTGCCATCGTAGCTTCCTGTAGCCTAAAATTTCTGGGCTCAAGTGAGCCTTCCGCCTCAGTCTCCTGAGTAGCTGAGATTACAGGTACATGCCACCACTACACCTGGCTAGAACTCTTTTCTTTTTTAATTACTAAAGTTTGAAGATACAAGACTGTCTTTTGGGGGCTTGGCGATTAAGAAGCTGTTAGCTATCTGTGTAACAGTGCATTTGTTTAATGGAGGAAAGTGTGGGAGAATGTATGTGATAGCAGACAAACCCTTCTGAGAAAAGTCTGGTTCTCAGAAATACCATCTGACCCAGCAATCCCCGTATATATACTGGGTATATACTCAAAGAAATAGAAATCATTCTGTTATACAGACACATGCATGCATATATTCATTGCAGCACTATTCACAATAGCAAAGACATGGAATCCACCCAAATGCCCATCAATGATAGACTGGATAAAGAAAATGTGGTACAGATACACCATGGAATACTATGCAGCCATAAGAAGGAACAAGACCATGTCCTTTGCAGGGACATGGATGGAGCTGGGAGCCATTATCCTCATCAAACTAATGCAGGAACAGAAAACCAAACACCACATGATCTCACTCATGAGTGGGAGCTGAATAATGAGAACACATGGACATGGGGAGGGGAACAACACACACTGGGGTGTCTGGGGTGGGGTGGATGGAGGGAGAGCATCAGGAAGAATAGCTAAAGCATGCTGGGCTAAATACCTCAACTGCCGTCGATAGGTACAGCAAACCATCATGGCAGATGTTTGCCTCTGTAACAAACCTGCGAGTTCCACACATGTATCCTGGAACTTAAAAGAGAAACATGTATCCCATTTTTAAAAATCTGGTTCTTTTTTATCTTCCCCCCGCTCTCCTCTCCCTCCAGGTTGGCACAGAGCAGGTGTTCAATAAAGGCTTGAAAAATTGATCTGAATGGAATTAAACCTTACTTTTGTTCTTTCTCTAAAAAGAATCTTGGTATTAGCTCGACTAATCCTTTTGCTCCATACAATTGGCTAATGCCACCTTCATATTTTTGATACCATTAAGCCCCCACTGCCCCTTCCTTAGAGCTAAGGGATACTGCAGGACAAGGGGTCTGGTGTCTCCACTTCTCTCCTCCAAGGCTTTGTTTTGAAAACCCTGCTGCCAGGGCAGGCTCCAGTGTTACGGTGCTCACAGAAGCACACATCTTCCCTTCCAGCCCTCTGCCCAGTTATTTCATTCCCTCTCTAACAAGCACTCATGGAGCCTTTACTAGGTCTTCAGCACAGTTTAGGTTATCAGAATAAGATCGTGAACCACACACCAGGTCCTTTCATGGAGCTTATTTTCTAGCTTGGTGGAGACACACGTTAAAGACAGACTGCAGCTCACAGGTCACATGCAGCCCACCGCCTGCTTTTGTAAATAAAGTTTTATTGGAACACAGCCATGCAGTCCATTCATTTACTCATTATTGATGGCTGTGTCTGCACTACCATGGCCGAGGTGAGTAGTTGCGATAAGAATGCATGGCCTGTGAAGCAAGAGTATTTACACCTGGCCCTTTGTAGAAAAATAGCTTCCCATGTCTGCATTAAACAAATGAGTATGCAGGAAACAGATGTGCCAGTGAACAATGCTATCATGGGTGATGAGACAGAGTAGGTGTGCATGTGTATGTGTGTATATGGTACACGTGTGTGTGCTGGTTTTAGAATGAGTGGCCAGGAGAGGCCTCACTGAGCAGCTGACATCTCAGAGGGGACTTTCGCACCAGAGGCAAGCCCTCTGGGAGTGGAGACTCTTTCTGTCTGGTTTGCACACTCGTGTCCCCAGGCTAGCGTAGGCCACAGGCTGGACACCTGCAGAGCACTGATGTGAAGATGTGGATGTGAGCTGGTGATGCAGACGCCCTGGAGAACCAAACACATGTACTCCTCGTGGCCGCTGTCAACTACGACACGTGCTGTGTGTTCGTCCTGTCCATTTGCTGCCCTGCCTGGGAGGTGCCTTCTTTTTCCTGCAGCTGTTCTGACCATCCTCATAGCACCGTGTGTGTGTGTGTGTGTGTGTGTGTGTGCTGTGTGAACGTATGTGCACCTGATGCTCTCCCAGACCATTCCATGGCCCACCTTGCCATCTTATAACACCCGATATCCTGAATGGACAGTTTCCATCCACCATGAATGCGATAGAACCTGGAATGTAATGGCCCATGAGAATCAGCAATGTAAAGGAGAAACAGAAGTTCAGTTCCCGTTGTTCCAATAGAAACTTAGTGTTGTTTTCATCAACTGAGAAACACAAGCAAAGAAGAGCCATGAACCTCATCCCATGGAGACAATGCATGGCTGTGTGAGAGCCTGCCCGAGCCCACCTTCTCAGTCCGGCCTTGGCCTCTGCTGGAGGCCCCTGCTGGATGTGGGCACAGGGCCAGGGACGGTAGCATCCTCAGTTGCACTGCATCCTTGTCATTGTAAAGATGGGGAAACTGAGGCTAACAAAGAGGAGAATTCTTTCCGACTGACCCATGGCTAGGAAATAAATAGCAGAGCTAGAAGTGAGTCCTGGGTAAACTGAGGCTGGGATACTCCAGCCACACACTCACGCAGGTACCATGTAAGCTGGTGGTTGGGGCCTGGGCCTGGCAGTCAGGCCATTCCACCTACTCACTCATGCAAGTCACCTTCCATCTCTGTCTTGTCTGGAACTGTCCTGAGCCTTAAATGAGTTCACACAAGTCAAGTTCTGAGCTAAGTAAAACACAAAATCAGTGATTAATATGTCTTAGACACGGCCATGGTTACTGCCACATTGTTCACCCTGGACCCTAACTGCTCAGGCACAGACTGTGACTTGGTCGACTTTGATTCATCACAAACCAGGGTCGCCTCTGGCTCAGAGCCCAGCAGTGTGAAGTGCTCTCGCTGTGTGGTGGGATGTCATCCCCCACTCATCTTCAGGTGAGCACATTGCTCACCTTCTGTGGGGGACACCGTAGACAGTCAGTTACAATTAAATTAGGCCAAAGGGAAGGCAGCAGCCACACATCCCCAGTGAGGCTTTGCTGCTTCTGGGCTCTGAGCTCCGCATCTGTATGAGGCGAGTCCTCCAGCTTGGTGATGCCATGAGCCCCTGGGTGGGGCAGTGAGGAGGGAGAGGCACCTTACCTGGCCCACTGCAGAAGGAGGCGATGATGGCCAGAATGCACACGATACTCAGGTAGGGGACCCAGTGGGCACGGTCCTGGGAGAGAACAGGGAGTGGTCAGGTGAGGAGGTGACGGTGTGTCCAGAGGACTGGAGTTCCCACCTCAGCTCCTCCTCCATCCATCTGTGTGACCTTGAACAGGTCACTTGATGTCCCCAGATCCCAGTTTCAGCATCTATAACATGGCGACAATGGTGATCCTTCAGAGACATTCCATCCGCTTATTTTATAGCTTTGATGAAATCAGAGGAAGCTGGTGATGAGTTTTACACAGTCCTGGCATACAGGAAGTGGTAAATAAATGAATGACTCACATTGAGTGCTTATTTTGCAGCAGGCAATATGAGAAATGTTCATAGCTTTATCACATTTTTAAAAGTTGTCTTAGTTCTTGTGTTATTATATAAAAGACTGTATTTATACCTCTGTCATCCTGCAAGGTGTGAGATGAGTTAATTCATTTCACGGAATGTGTCTGGAGAAGCTGTCACTCATCTGGGGGGTGGGCAGCTTGGTGCTGGGTGCAGAAGGATGTTTGGGGATCACTCCTACTCTAGCAGGTGGATGGCTGAGCATTAGAACACAGTGTTACCAGTTCTGAGTGTGGGGGGCGGGTGCCAGGGCTTCCCCAGGAGAGGCCAGCTGACCTCAAGGGAAGGTAAGAGCCTGCACTTATCTCTGTAGGCTGAGCCAGGGTCATCCTAGTGGGAAAGGAAAGCAAAGAGGTTCCAGGAGGGGGTTCAGCATACACAAGGGCACAGAAGCCTGAGAGGGCACCGTGCGGGGCTGAGCTGCAAACAGTCTGGAATGGAGGGCAAGGTGTATAGAGGGCAGACAGAGGAATGGGGAACTCCTTCCTTCCCCTTGTTCTGTGTCCAAATCTATTAGCTCTAGGGATTGAGAGGAGCTTTGTGGACTCTTGTACACTGTAAGGCTTGCTTCTGCACCAAGTCACTCGCTCACTCATGCAGCTGATTGGTCTTAGCTGCCCCTGGGTGCCATGCACTGGGATGGGAGGTGGAAATGCAGATATGGTACAGGCATGACCCTTGCCCTACACAACGCACTCACTGTCTATTTGGAGAGAGAGATGTGTCAACAGTGAAAGTCAATGGTCTGTGATAAGTGATCTCACAGCTTTCCCCCTTGGGGCTTATGGGAACACAGAAGAGGGCATCTCACCCAGACTTGGAAGCAAGGGGAGGCTTCCTGCAGGAAGAGGTGTCCAGGAGGGTCCAAGGCTTCCTGAGTCCCGAAAGCAAGGAGAAGCTAGCCAAGCACAAGAAAGCCTTAGGAGAGGAAACTGCCAGGCCCCTTGGGGAGCTGCCAGGGGCAGGGTGTGGGGCACTGTGAGAGACAAGTGTGGGCCAAGCCAGGAACAGCTCTGAAACCTTGTGAAGTGAGGCTTAGATGGCGTTTGTGGGCTTCAGGCTTTGTTTATAAACTTCCGGCATGAGTTTCAGAAGGACAATGGCCCGGAACATTGCCCAACTGGTTTCCTGAGAACTTCGCAGACTGTCAAGATGGCTGGGCTTGAGACAGCTTGGACCTGGCTGTCAGGAAGGAACTGCGTCTGCAGGCACCTTGTCTCTGAAAGCAATGCTTCCACCTCCTGCGGGTCAGCGTGCTCGCCAGCCCCACTTCTTCGAAGGGCACCCATCAGATGCCACCATGATAATAGTGGCTTTTTCTAGAAATATTTGGGCCACTAAGACATTTGACAGGTGATCAAAACATGCACCTATCAATTTCCATATACCTTTTTGAAAAATGCAAAGATTGATCAATTGCTGTAACCTTGTTTCACACTTCCCATGGCACCAAGATGAGCTGGAGACACTGAGGCAGTGTTCAGTGACTCCCAGCCTGCCACCTTCTGGTGGTGTCACCTTGGGCAGCTTCTTTATTTATATTTATCCCTCAGTTTCCTTATCCCCATAAAAGAAATAAATACCAATGCTGTAAGGATGAAGTACCTCATCGCCCCTCCTCCTCCATGTACATCCACTGAGTGCTTGTTCCAAGTGCTTTCTGCGTTTTCTCATTTCATCCCGCAACACCCCTGGAGGAAGGGATGACTGTTCCATTTTAGAGATGAGGCCCTGAGAGGAGCTGACTTTCAGAAGTTTCATTATGAGTAAGGAAAAGCCAGAGTCCACACAGGCTGTCTCGCTGCAGAGCCACCATTTGTAAAATTTTGACAACTGGGGAAGTGGCTGGTATGCAGCACCTGGCATTCTTGCCGGGAGGTGACAGCTGGAAGGGGCATCTTAGGGCTGTCTAGTGCAAGCTCATCTATTACATAGATGGGTGAACTGAGGCTCAGAGAGGGAAAGTGTCTTGCCCAAGATCACACAGGTCATCAGCAGGAATGACAGGACCAGAAGTCACGTCTCTCGTCTCCCAGTCCAAGGACCCCTCACCAAACCCTCCCCCGCGAGGCCCCAAGCAGCTCCAGAGCTGAGATGCCCTGGGGAGAGCTTTATCACAAGCCTTGTCTGTAGAAGTATGAACCACAAATCAAAGGCCCCAAAATCACGAAGCCAGAGGTCAGCTTCGTGCTTATCTCCCTCAAGTGTGACAAGCACATCCTCTCACCTGCAGGGTCAGCGTGATGGTGAGGGTCCCAAAGAAGAGGGCCATCAGTCCAAAGCCACCAATGAGAAGGGGTCTCCGTCCCAGGCGCTCAATGACCAAGCTCTAGTCCAGGGTAAGAGAGAGAGAGAGAGAGAGAGAAAGCTATTATTCCATTTCTAGCCACAACAGGGGAATGTGGCACTGTGAACCAGCAATGACATAGTGATTAAAAATGGCCTTTGGGCCGGGCGCAGTGGCTCAAGCCTGTAATCCCAGCACTTTGGGAGGCCGAGGCGGGTGGATCACGAGGTCAAGAGATCGAGACCATCCTGGTCAACATGGTGAAACCCCGTCTCTACTAAAAATACAAAAAATTAGCTGGGCATGGTGGCGTGTGCTTGTAATCCCAGCTACTCAGGAGGCTGAGGCAGGAGATTGCCTGAACCCAGGAGGCGGAGGTTGTGGTGAGCCGAGATTGCGCCATTGCACTCCAGCCTGGGTAACAAAAGCGAAACTCCGTCTCAAAAAAACAAAACAAACAAACTAACTAACAAAAAAACGGCCTTTGAGCCTGAGACAGCTAGGCCACCATCTTCACGGCCACAGCCCTAGAAGCAATGCTCTTTATGAGAGTGGAAAAAGTGAGGGAGAGAAAGTCTGAGCACCTGCAGGGTTAATATGAGCATCTTTCCTCCCAATCTTCCTTGCTAGGGTGGACTCCTCAAACAGGGAGTTTGGGAAAAGGAACTGGATGGATATGGTCACCACAGTCCTTCTCCTCCTTCAGAGCCAGCCTGCATGGAAGGCAATTTCTCTGTGTCTCCATGTTGTCGGTTTCATAGGGGTAGGCACCCACAGCGGTGCACAGGGGTGGGAGTACGCAGAGAAGCCCATGTCGTTTTCCACTCTGCCTTTTTCTGGGGGAGTCGATTTCATTGTGGACGTGATGTGGGGAGTCCTTGGGGAAGTCCCTGAAGTTGTGTCCTTCAAGCCAGCTTCCCTCAGGCTAGGACTGTCACTGACCTCCGTCTGGCCCCTGTCCACTTGGTCAGGAAACAGCTCCTCATCTGCCAATAACTGACAGAGTAATTGTAGCCAAATGTCAGAGACAGGAAAACCTGGGTTTATATTGCGGCTTTACTACTTTCCAGATGTAAGAGCTTTGGCATATGACTTCACTTCTCAAAGCCCCAGGGCCTTTATCTGTGACAAGGGAACCAAAATATCCTTTAACAAGGGTGTCTGGAGTGGAAGGGTGTGTTAAATAAGAGACTGCACGCATCGTACACATTAGGTACTCAGATTATGTGAGGCACCCTCCTCTCACACCCATTTCACAAAAAAACACTGAGGGTCAGAGAGGTGTGATAACTCAGCAGATACCACAGAGCAAGTAAGTGAGAGAGGGCCAGAAATTGAGCCCAGAGTGTTTGAATCAAAATCCATGGCTTTTCTCAATAAGGCAATCAGGTGAGCCTTCCTGCAGGAGGCAGTAGCAGGCAGAGATGTGGCAAGCTTCTCAGGTGGAGGGATTAGTGGGAGCAAGGGTTTGATGGCTGGAAGATCCCCATCACAACAGTCATTTGGCTTGGACAAGGGTGATGCTGCCGAGGGCCGTGAAGCCAGAGCACACATGCCTCCTGCCAGCTTCAGGTGACGGTGCGAAAGTCTTAGCACTGAGATGAACAGTTGCAATCTTGCTCCAAAGCCTCAGGGTTTCTCCACAATGCAGTCCAACTGCAGGGACCTAGTACCCTCAACCTATTCCTCTTTCCTCATACCCTGCTCCTTAGAGGGAGGCAGATGAGAAGCCATCTAGGCAATGGGCATTCTCCCCCAAGCTTAGCATGGACTGTTGTTGTGCTTAGCAGAGCGGGCACTGGGGTGAGTGACAGCCGCCTGTCTAAGGGTGTAGCCCTGTGGTCAGCTGAGCACCTGGCCATGTGGTGCTGCCTGGGACCCTGGACCTCTCAGTCCCCTAGGCATGAACGTTGAGGGGACCAGTGGGTACCAGTCCAGAAAGTCAGAGGCCTGGGAGGTAAAAGTGCCTGGCTGATGACTATGTATCTCAAAAAGCATCCAAGACTTCTGGTCAGAAATGCCTTTCTCCTGTTGCCTAGGGAAGAAGGGCAGACTCAAGCCTCTAAACTTGGCCTCCTGGAAACCTGGCCCAGTGGTATCCAGAGGCACATAAGCCTGAAGACGGGTGACCCGAGCTCAAGTTCTGGCTCTGTCACAGCCTTCTTTGCACCCAGGACAGGTTACTCAGCTTGTCCAGGCCTCAGGTTCCCCACCCGGAAAATGAGAATGATAATCCCATCTTTGCAGGGGAGCTGTGAGACAAAGGGAAAGAACTCACAGTGTCTGAAATAGACACATGAACAAAAGAGGTTGCTAATAGACGGCAGAAAGTATCTTATCGATTTTAACTAAGGAATGCCCTGGGGGGAGGGGGGTGTCCCCAACCCTTTCCTGTAGCTGGCTGTGTGGCCTTGAACAAGATAATTAATCCTTCCGTGTGTTAATTTCTCATCTTTTCTGATGTTAATGGAGTTAGTCTAGGTATCAATAGCTAATGATCATTTACTGAGCACCTACTATGTGCCAGGCAGTGTATTAAGCACTTTTCATGCATCAACCTGTTTAATCCTGACAATAACTTCGAGTAGGTTTAATTATTTGCTCCATTTTACGGGTTAAAAAAAGCAAAACAGAGGCTTTGGAAACTAGCACAGGTCACATGGCTGGCAAGAGGCAAAGCTGGGGTCAACTACAAAATCTTTTCTGGGGTCAGAGAGGTTAAATTTTCTTGACATTAAACTAGAAATAGACAATGTCGCCACTTGGTAACGGCCCAGTGTCCCACCTGCATGTCCAGCTTCTGGACCCGAAGAAGGAAGGGCACGGATCACTTTTTCCGCCCTCTGAGTTCCTGGCTCTCTGTTTTTCTTCACTTGAAGGCCAGGCACCTTCATCTTTGCTTCCCAAGAGCCTAGAATACCTGACAGGTGTGGTGTAAATGTTTGTGGAGGGAGTAAATGTCTGTCTTTTTTTATTTTTTATTTTTTTTGAGACAGAGTCTTGCTCTGTACCCCAGGCTGGAGTGCAGTGACTTGCTTTCAGCTCACTGCAACGTCTGCCTCCTGGGTTCAAGTGATTCTCCTGCTTCAGCCTCCTGAGTAGCTGGGATTACAGGCGTGCACCACCATGCCTGGCTAATTTTTATATTTTTAGAAGAGACAGGATTTCACCATGTTGGTCAGGCTGGTCTCGAACTCCTGACCTCGTGAGTCATTGCCTTGGCCTCCCAAAGTGCTAGGATTACAGGCATGAGCCACCATGCCCAGCCCGTGTCTGTCTTTATAAGCAGGAAGAATGATTCTTATTTGCAGAGGAGGACAGTAAGGTTTGAGAAAGCTGAGTGACAGTAACTTCACTTGGTGGGAAGTGGGAAGGGAAGTCAGGCCAAGTGAGAGTCATGAAGGAAGCAAAGACCAGCAGCTTCTAAGAAAGAGAGAGGAAGAGAGGGAAGGAGAGAAAGTGGGGGGGGGGGGGGAGAGAGAGAGAGAGAGAGAGAGAGAGAAAGAGAGAGTGAAGCCTGCATGTAAAGTATCCCTTCCCTCTAGGCCATCATGAGCTGGGTCTCATCAAAGGGGAGACACTGCTGGGGCTGCCATGCCAGGAGCAGTGCAATATGAGTGAGAGAGCTGGATCCCAGTGCCAGGAGGGTCCCCTGGAAATGTGATGGGAGAAAGGGCCCAGGGATATCAGGGGCTTAGTGAGATTATGAAATTATGGGCCCAGAGAGATTATGCTGCTGTCTGTGTAACTCATACTAACTTCAGTGTAACAATACAACATATGTCACTGTCAGTGCAACACATGTCAATCTCAGCGCAACACGTTAATCTCAGTGCAACACATGTCAGTCTCAGCGCAACACGTTAATCTCAGTGCAACACATGTCAGTCTCAGCGTAACACGTTAATCTCAGTGCAACACATGTCAGTCTCAGTGCAACATGTTAATCTCAGTGCAACACCTGTCAGTCTCAGCGCAACACGTTAATCTCAGTGCAACACATGTCAGTCTCAGCACAACACGTTAATCTCAGTGCAACACATGTCAGTCTCAGTGTAACATGTTAATCTCAGCGCAACACGTTAATCTCAGTGCAACACGTTAATCTCAGTGCAACACGTTAATCTCAGCGCAACACATGTCAGTCGCAGTGCAACACGTTAATCTCAGTGCAACACATGTCAATCTCAGCACAACACGTTAATCTCAGTGCAACACATGTCAGTCGCAGTGCAACACGTTAATCTCAGCGCAACACATGTCAGTCTCAGCGCAACACGTTAATCTCAGCGCAACACGTTAATCTCAGCGCAACACATGTCAGTCGCAGTGCAACACGTTAATCTCAGTGCAACACATGTCAATCTCAGCACAACACGTTAATCTCAGTGCAACACATGTCAGTCGCAGTGCAACATGTTAATCTCAGTGCAACACATGTCAGTCGCAGTGCAACACGTTAATCTCAGTGCAACACATGTCAATCTCAGCGCAACACGTTAATCTCAGCGCAACACGTTAATCTCAGCGCAACACATGTCAGTCTCAGCGCAACACGTTAATCTCAGCGCAACACGTTAATCTCAGCGCAACACATGTCAGTCGCAGAGCAACACGTTAATCTCAGTGCAACACATGTCAATCTCAGCACAACACGTTAATCTCAGTGCAACACATGTCAGTCGCAGTGCAACATGTTAATCTCAGTGCAACACATGTCAGTCGCAGTGCAACACGTTAATCTCAGTGCAACACATGTCAATCTCAGCGCAACACGTTAATCTCAGCGCAACACGTTAATCTCAGCGCAACACATGTCAGTCTCAGCACAACACGTTAATCTCAGTGCAACACATGTCAATCTCAGCGTAACACGTTAATCTCAGCGCAACACATGTCAATCTCAGCACAACACGTTAATCTCAGTGCAACACATGTCAGTCTCAGCGTAACACGTTAATCTCAGTGCAACACATGTCAGTCTCAGTGCAACACGTTAATCTCAGTGCAACACATGTCAGTCTCAGTGCAACACGTTAATC